AAGTAGTAGATAAGCACAAACGAATGTACTGTATTTAAAATTCGAAATCAAGCATTCAACAAGGACAAAGGAATTATCAGTTCATTTAAACACCACAATAGCCCAATCAAGAGCTTTAAGTAATAGAGGTGCATTACGCCAAGTCTCTCCACAGCAGTCAGTAGTGCAAGAGTGCAGGAATAAATAAAACAGTTCTCTCCAAAGCTCGATGTTTTAATCAACTTACAAACGACTAAAAACCTATACCGTAGTTTTTGTTAACGACGGTTTTTAATTTCGGAATGCTATAGCGACTGAAGTACGTTTAGCTTTTATTGTAGACAATTTCAGGAAGCTCGATAATAGTGAAGTTACTAGTGGTTTATACACTTTTACTCGAAGATAGCAAATAACTTGAAAATCCAGTGTTTTTTAATTTGTTAACTTTGTCGTGTTGCATTTCGAGATTTATATTCCATCAATTTTACAATAACGTGTCAATGAACTTATCATTTAACTTGATTAGTCGTTATTGTCTCTTTAAATATTTATACATTCACGTGTATTGGATATTGAGCGTGCCACTTTCCTTTAAGGACTATTTTAAAAGTAGGATGACAAATCGCGGTCCGGCCAGTTGGTTTGATAATATAGATAACTTAAAAATTGAATGCTTAGCCAAGAAAAATAAAGGAATTCGGAAAAATGTGAGAATTTCAGTATGTCGTCGCCTTAAAGTTTCACATAGTGAGTTCACGGTAAAGGACGTTAATTCAGATGAGGACTACAGAAATCCTGTCTCGCATCTTCTATCAATAAACTTTGGCCTTGACGAAGAGAGCAATGAAGGTGAAGTCCGTGTATTCTATGATTCATGCCCTACAGCATTTTTTGGTTCAATGGCTTTAGAGGAGTGAATATAAACCTTACGTTTCCTTGGTAGATCCAGCTCCTGTATGAACATTGAGTGCAGATAAACCAGCTATAATCCACACATCCTACTTTTAGGAAGTCTGTTGATTGTATTTGCTATAAATAACTTCGCTTAGTGTTTCATATAACGCTCATCGACATATAACTGAGACCGGATTTCTCAGGTATTGTAAATATAGGTTATGGATGCTGATGTTGCGGAGCATTAGCTCAGATACACGTTAGCTACCATAAGTTTTCAGTTCCTTTTCATGTTTCAAAATGTAACAACGAGTAGTTCGTCTCACCCATGCTACCAATAAATTTGGATTTCTAATGTTAAATCTACTTAAGCACCTAAGTCCGTAATAAAATCGATTTATGTAGACTTCTCATCAACATTTTTCAGGAATGTGAATAGTCACTTACTTAGTCAATAGAAACAATTTCTGTGCGAATATGTACCAGATCTTTAAACTATAACGATAGAGTTTGATCCAACTTATTATTTTCTAGCAAATCTACATGAGTGACTTTACATAACTGATTTGTAATTTTTAGAGCGCCTTTGTCTTGGAGGTTGATTCATTTACCACGCTCGGTGTTGGGTTTGTAGACTGAGCAGTCTCAGTGTCGAAAAAAACAAGAACTAAAACGATATGGATCATAAGTGGTTAACTATCTATAACTTTTAATGGAAGTGTTTTAAAACACAAAGCCAGTTTATAGCAGTTCTTAAACTTTAGTGCAGTACCACTCAGCTACAATATCATCTTTCACAACGGTAGTTTCAAACCCCAGTACTATGTTCAGATATATTTGATAGTTCAGTACTGTGACTTGTAATCATTCCGCTATACATAAATACTCCATTTAGATTCAGAGGATCACGAATGTATATAAATTGTAAACCGGTTTTATTGTAAACCCAACCGACACAACGAATAGACAATGGTGATCGTCTGCTGCAACTGTGATCAGACAATCGTTTATTTTTAGCAAACACTAATTTTATGCATAAAGAGAGACATCGTTTAACATGCTGACCCCCTGCACCAAACCAACGATGGACTCAAATAGACCATATTGCCATAAGTCATCGTTGCAGGGGCTCCATAGAAGACTGTCGCTCGTTCTAAAGTACATGTTTAGACTCCGATCATGCTCTGATACGAGCACGCATTTGCTTGCGCCTCACTGGATGCAGAAAAGTCACATTAAGAGAACCAACTAGAATTGAATAGAGCGACGAGAAAGCCGAAAGTAGATTCCAGGAACAATTGAGGCCACACTTAGGTAGTTCTGAAAACGAAGCTGACCCAGGTGTTGCTTGAAAAGATATAAAAACAGCTGTGGAAACAGCAGTGACATCCTTCAGTGATTTAAACCAAAGGGTTACAATAAGCCAGTGGATTTCTTCTAAGTTTATTGCATTGATGGATTCGCGTAAACTCATTCCATCAGGCTCTGAACACAAGGAAGTGCCAAAACAAATCAGATCTGGGTTAACGAAAAGTCTAAGGAACGGCCGTGAGAAGCGGTGGGCAACGAAAGTAAAAGAGATGGAAACGGCGGCTGTAGTTAACACAAGACAGCTCTTCAGACTGGAACTAAAAAGTCATGTGAGAATATCTCGGAAAAAGTCGACACTCTTATCTGCTCCCAGTTCAGACGTTAAAAACGATGGGCAGGACACTCTAGAAAACAGTTCAGTTGGTCTTCAGTCACTGCATAACTACCCACCATTTCCAAACACTCTGAATGAAACATTGAAGTAAACCCTCCGACTCTAATTGAAATTCAAAAAGCTATAGTAATCTGAAATGAGGAAGAGCAGCTGGTCTAGATGAATTGGCTCCACAGGTCTTTAAGTATGGCGGTCCAATTTTAGCGATTAGGTTGACCAATATTTTGGCTAAGATCTGGGAGTTGGACGTAACCCCATATGATTGGTCGCAATCACTGATTGTCCCACTATATAAGAAGGGATCAAAGTCATCCTGTGATAATCATAGAGAGGTTAGTTTGACTAATATAGCATCTAAAATACTAGCCTTAATAATTATCGGGCGCCTAAGACTCGTGAACTGCAAACACGAGGATATCAGGTTGGCTTTAGACCTGGTCGTGGTTGTATCGACCACATATTCACCATTCGTTAGGTCCTAGAATACAGAAATGCTTAACAGCGTACGATAATAGTGGTCTTTCTTGACTTTGCTTTGTTGACTGAGAGGTTCTGCGGCAGTGTCTGTCGGACGCAGACGACGTAGTCCTGTTTGGTGAAGACGCTGATAAAATGCAGAGTCTTTTGGTAGAACTGAGCAACAATGCCAGAATGTTTGGGATGCGTTCCCCACCTCTAAATGCAAGTTGTTGCTTCAGGACTGGTCTGCGTCAATACCTGAACTAAGGATAGGGAGTGAAGTAGTCGAACGTGTCGACAACACTTATTTTGGAGATCTGATCAGCCCAAATAAGTTGATGTCTGACGAAATCTCTGCACCGATTCAGAAACCTCGTTTGGCTTTTGCCAACTTACGTCACCTATGGCGCAGGCGAGATATCCGTCTATCAATTAAGGGTCGAGTATACTGCGCGGCAGTTCGTTCCGTTCTACTATACGGCTGCGAAGCATGGCCATTAAGAATTGAAGATACTCGTAAGTTACTAGTATTTGACCACAGATGCCTCAGAAATATTGCTCGCATCTGCTGGGATCACCGGGTAAGTAATAGTGAGGTTGGACGGGGAGGGTATTAGGGAATGATAGTAAATCAGTTGATGAGGTTATGAATCTTCATCGACTGAGATGGTTGGGTCACGTGTTGCGTATGCCTGAACACCGATTACCACAACGCGCAACGCTCACTGGTGTTAGGGATAATTGGAAGGAAGTTAGGGGCGGCCAAACCAAATTTATTTATTTATTTGAACACATATATATTGGTACAGGGGGGCACCAAATATATATGCGCCACACAAAACAGTGATAATTAGAAGAGAAGGAGAAAAGAGAAAAAAAAAAGTAATGAACGTGGGGAATTATAAAAAAAGGGAAAGAGAGAGAGAACAATGGTGGGGGAAACGGAAAGGTACAATCAGAACAGATCTTTCAATTAAGGAAGAATACGACCACCTTTTTATGAAGAAAGTAAAAGAAGGTTACAGCACGATCGCCACTGGCTTCTATTCTGAACCATATCTGATAACGTCTCTAGCCACTGCGTTACACCGTCTCTCGGACCCCAACCAGGGAGTCGTGAAGGACCAACAGAAGCTAGCCCTTTGCAGCTTTCTTTCATACCACGACACCATGTCATATACTGACCACCTCTCCGCTTTTTTCAACCAGTCCCTGAGTCGGCAAATAATGCACGACGTGGAATTCTCTGGGACGACATTCGTAGAACACGTCCAAGCCACCGAAGTCGGTGTTTCAAGATGGTGACACCAAAACTATGATGAACTATCTGCTTATAGAAAATATTCGTTTCTCTCCGACTAACATTGAAATGACTGGCCAAACCAAAACGTGGCATCAGTGCTTGAAGACACTAACTTCTGGTCTGAGCCATGTTGGTAGATGCAGACTACTTGGTTAGGGTCCGCGTGACTATCGTAACTGTGGTTGGAGACTGGGTGATATGGATCAGAGTCGGTCACTGTGACGTAGGTGTATACACTTTCCGTCTTCTCTCAAACTAGGAGATTAAAATTGCTTTATATCTTTCCACCAACTAATTCTTTTTCTCCGTACGAGATCCTTATATGCGATCTTTCTTTTATATATTACCACCATCGATGTAACTACTTCTATGAATTCGGTGTTCACCTTGTTGTGCTAATGAGGTATGACAACTTTAACAGATATATAAGTGTCTGATCCTACGTTGTAGCTGACTGACTGACTAACGATATGATGAGTCAGTTATCTTTGGTTAATTTTTCACTTAGTATGTAGAAATCAACTTCAAGCAACAAGATTGGTGAAAAATGAGAATTTAATCAAATTTCAAATATTTGATTATTCTATTATTGAAGTTAAATTTATCTCTAGTTTATATGATATTTGCTTATCTTCTAGTTACATTTAAATATTCATACCAGCCGAAAGTAGCTTTTCAGTTATACCAATTACTGAAAAAATCTATTTTTAAACATATTGGAGAACAGATAAGAGATATTTATCTTTCATAAGTGCATACATAGATTACAAAAATACTTGTCAAGGACATCGTAAGAATTATAAAAACATGATGTTATCTGTAATGAAAACAACAAAATACTGTCAAATTTAGATCGAAACACCTACATAGAAAAGGTTATACGAAATAAGAGTATGTTTGATTAGTTCAACAGTGAAACAGATAGATAAATATATACAAATAAATTATGATGAAATATAAAATTACTTTTCTAATTTTATATCCATTACTGATGACAGCAGGAAATCGTCCATTAAGGCTTGTTGAACACCACCATCATCTAAACGTAATCGGATACGTCTTAAACGTGCTGGTGTACCCACTGTAGCTTTAACTGAATAACGCGGACCAGTAAGTTGAATAAATCCACGAGAATCAAGTAGGTCGCATACAGCAAAGAGTTCAGATTCATTTAAACTTGTAATTTGTTTTTTCTTGCATATAAGTATGTACGTGTCATAAAGTAGGCTAAACGATAATTCACGTAAACCTTTTTGTTTTCTTAACAGAAGACAGCTAGCCAGTAGAAGCTTATGATGTAATGGCAGCTCAGAGCCATTAGTAGTAAATGTATTAACGCCACTAAACGATTTAACAGGAAGAGGAGAATCAACCTGATAATGAAAAAAAGATTAAATCAAATTACCCTGAGATCTAACACGAAGACAATACAGATATGAGACAAAAGGGACAAATTCACACGACTAAATATGCAGGTAATATTTATGTGAACTAATTAAAAAAATTTTAAGATCATATTTGGTCTATAAGTGCTATCTGAGTTCTATCGACTAATAAAATCTATTGTTATAAACGATAGAATACTGTCGTCCAGTATATATTTTAGTGATACATATCTGAAGAACATTAACGACAAGAACCAAGCCTTAAAACTATTGGTATTTGCTAACAAGATATCAAAAAATTCGGACAACTCAGGGGCCTCATTTTTGCTTATGTTCATCCGTATTAACAATCATGAAATCTGGACTAAAGTTTTACTGATAATTGCATGAACATAAAAGTAAATTTTTATAGGAAACAAACTCCGTTGACAAACACAAGCAAAACTAGGTTACTGTACAACAAACTGATTTCGACTAATGCAAAAAACAAGTAACATAAGAATAACATGAACCCATTTGTTTCGTAGTTTCTCTTCAGCCGTTTACAACTGAGAAACAATATTATTAATTACTTGAAAGCAGTGTATATGCTTTATGTCATACTATCGAAGATTGGTAGAATAAGAATAATAAACGAACTCTATCTGCTCTGAACCATTTAATCACTTATGATAAGTTGTAAATAGGTAGCTACTTTTGGTAATAAATTATTCGGAAAAATAAGGAGGAATGAATCGATTTCATTCCACAATTGCCATATTTGGTTAACGAATCGAGCTGTTTTCAAACTTACACTGATAGATATATAAACGAAAATCAGGAAGTTGGAGAAATTTTGTAAAACGAGACGCCGAGTCAGTATGGTAGTTGGTAAGATCTAGGTGGAATATGAAGGAACCTCCTTAAGACAAATGTGGGTACTTATTTATATTATCGGACTTGATAGGGCTGAAATACATATGAAGTAATCAAAGTAGACTTATATACCATTCGACGTTGGCAGTATGGTATCATCAATTATTCATTTTCAAAATAAACATGTACTTTTATTGCAGATTGTATTGGGTTAAATAACCTGGTTTTTAGATTGATATCAAGAAAGCTTCTGAGGGTTGAGAACAAGAGCCCAAGCAAACCAAGCACAGCAGATCTGATAGAGGATGTAATTTTCGAAGTTCCGTAACAGTTACAGTTATTAGCACTTCTGCACTAATCATGTTCTCTAGCTTAAAGGAAAGATTTAATCCTATTAATTAAAACATTATGTGTCTATATTTTTTGGATTGTATAATAAACAAACACATCTCATTACTTAAATTTCTCTAACGCACAGGAACTAATGAAAAGCTTTTACCGAAATCGACTGAAACTGCTGGCAGTAGGTATGAGCCTTTGTCTTCACTATTTTAGCCGGTTTTGTTACAGACGACGAGAAGAGTAAAGTCTGCTTCGAACTTTCTTTGCAATGACCCTCCATCCAGAAAACTTGGGAACGGTCTACAGTAAACATATAATATGATCCCGACAAGCAGATGTACTAACAAATTATAAGGAAACAGAATGTTTGATATGAGTTAAATACTTATTAAATACAAGGTGCTGCTAGTTTTATCCAAGCCGACCCCTAGTAGAACAAAAAAATAGATGTGGGTCGTAATGGAAATAGCGAACTATGTTTAACCGTTGCATGGACAAAATCTAATGGTCACGTATAGGTATGAGTAGCATACCGTTTCAAAACAAGGCCTAACCGATGACAGTAATAATTACATAGTGTTGAATTTAAGACCCAATAGTGATAGGATGATAGACGATTTATTTTGCCCAAAACACTACCTAGCAAATACTACAGTATTACATTGTTTTACATCTGGTAAACAAATGAGTAAGCTCTACCAACAGGTCGAAGTGTTCGGTGTTTTATTTCAAAAAAAATCTATATGACTTAGTCTGTACCATATATCTCTATACCTTGTTAATAGGCTCAAAATACACTTCCAATAGTACTTACCACGAAACCAAAGTACTCACCTGAGACTCCTTTAAAGCCCTACTTATATGCTGGATGGAAGGTGTTATGGGAGAATCAGCCGCAACCTTCGAAGGAATAAACGCGTCAGATATGTTTTTTATTCGAGCATCTTGATGAGCTAAATCAATCGCCCTGCGACATATATCTAGTGCAGTACGTGCATCCCCTGTAGAAGCAGCAATCTAAATTGAATATACTGACAACATTAATACATGTTACTGGAAAGAAAAGTAAACTATAATCAAACATTACAATGGAGTTTAAAAAGTTGCTTTTTCCCTACGAGCAGTGATCAGTGTTTGAAGGGAATATTTCCAATTAAATGTCACTGAACTCGTGAAGTAATGAGTTACTTAAGCAATAAGGTAAAACTCTTACATACGTTCTTCAAAAAGTTTTGTTTTAGGATAGTTCAACAAACCATACTTCACTACAAACTTCAATAGATTAATAAAAGCTGCATAAGTAATAAAAAGGTAACTAATAAACTGGTAATCTTTCTTAAGTAGTTACTAAGCATAGAAGTAATGAAGGTATTTCAAGCATGTACATACTTCCTGCTCAAATATATTTTGAATATTTCATTTAGAATGAATATCTTTCAGACGTCTTAACATCTATACAAGTAAGATAGTTAATATTGTAACAATAATTAGGATAGTAACAAAACTGACGTGCTAAATTATGATACAGAAATATTGCTAACGATATTAAATGAGTATTCAAGTATTGGTAGGTGATATGGGACTTGAACTTGTAGGTTAAGTAATATGCAGCAATAAGCTAACTCACGAAATGTGTTTAACACTCTCGACATATGTAATCACAACTATATTTTCTTTTAAATCTGTTGGTTTTAACCCTTACAAGCCACAGCCATTTATTTATTTTAACAAATAAATATTGGTACAATGGGGGGGGGGCACCGGATAAATATGCGCCACCCAAGTCACTTGATTTGTGTGGGAGCTGTGATACTGCCTGAGCGCCCAGACCGAAGCAGGTGGTTTTCTTAAGAAGCCACACCCGAAGCCTTCGACCTAAAGGTCTGATCCACAAGGCAGTGGAGCAACGTCAGGAGATACAGTCCCATGGTAGGCGGTAACCAACAGTTGGGTCATACACCACTTATTCCTTCAGGATTCTGAAGCCCATGTGTACTATTGCTTTGGAATCAGGGTTTTCAAACTCCCTTAGGAGTACTCTCCGTGTCCACCAACCAGGTCAAAGCGCCGAACATTCGCTTTTCGTCCTCTCAATTTTGTAAACGACACCCCCGCTCCGAGAAGGCAGTGAGAAGAACTTCCCTGGCAGTGGTTGTGTATGTGTGGCCATGTAGGAGCATTTCTAGAGGGAGAGCTAACTCTCCCCACCCTCAGCCGTACCAGCGCATTTGGGGACAATCTGCAGTCATAGAGCTTTGTCATTCATTTCATACACTTCACAAAAGACAACTAATTTCACTGCTGAAATACGTCAACAATTTCGATGCAAAACACAAAATGGGGGGTACTATGCAACCCAAAACTGTTTGCCTTACACACTAACACGAAAAAAAAGAAACACTGGGAACCGAGGCCTTGAGGAACGTTTGGTCTGAGTATGACGATAACGACCAGTATCCACTCCTACCACAACCAACAATAAAAGTTCGTATCTTGTAAAGACCACATCAATACCGCACTATATATTTGAAATATAATGGTTGACTACTAGATTTAAATGGCCCCTGATGTTATTTATTTATTTTAACACATAGGCATAGGTACAGGGAGGCACCAAGTACATATACGCCACACGAATCTCAATTGATTTGTGTGAGGGCTGTGATACTGCCCGGGTGCCCAAACCGAAGCAAGTAGTCTTCTTAGAGGGCCACACCCCGAGCCTTTGACCTAAAGATCTGACTCACAAGGCAGTAGAGCATCGTAAGGAGATGCAGTCCCATGGAAGCCGGTGACCAAGAAATTGGTTCATACGCCATTTGTTCCCTCAGGCAGGATACTGGAGCCCATGTGCACCATTGATTTGGGATCCGGTTAAAGCGCCGGAAGTTCGCTTTTCGTCCTCTCATTTTCGTAAACAACACCCCCGCCACGAGAAGGCAGTGAGTAGGACTTCCCCGGCAGAGGCTATATACGCATGGCCAAGTGAGAGCATTTCGAGAGGGAGAGCGGACTCTCCCCACTCTCGGCCGTACTAGGGCATTTGGGGGCGGCCCCTGATGTAACGTATGCCTTTTAGTGAAATCTAGTGAAAACTTCACTCCTGTTCATGATTACTTTATAGAAAAACTCACAAGGCTTCTATAAATAGTAAGGAATCTGAAATACTACAAACCGAATAGCTCACTTTTCTAGAACATAGTTGTATAGCCAGAGGTTCTATACATGATCCACTATTTGATGATTTGGATAAATGAGCTTGAACAATTTCAGCAAGCTCAGATTGTGAATACGGTTGAAATATAATATGAATAGGTTTGTCAACTTTTGATTTCAAACGTGGTAACAAACGTTCTGGTAAATCTAAGGCATTTGCCACCCCAATAACAATGATGTGACAAGTAAGTTTTGATGGCCATTCGAAAATTCTAAAAGGTAAGTGTAGTTATTAAACGGAGAAGTTTGATTAGTGATAACGAGGAAGTCAATAATTCACAAAATAACCATAAAAATATACGAATTCGTGAGTAGTCCTGATTTTAAAAAATTTATTAGTATTATAAGACTTATTTAAAAAAGAGTTTCAATTAGGACCTTTTTAGTGTCATACTACACTTTTATTTGGGCACTAACTATACCACAAGTCTTACAATTAAAGTACCTTAAGACAGTGAATCCACAAGAATAATAGTACATACTTACAAGTGAAGAATGAAATCTTCTAAACAAAATTCTCATTTTTATTAAGTACGGAAAAAATTAATCAAATAAAATCTTCATTTAACAGAAGCAATATATAACGCAGGACAAATATAGGTCGGTTTAATATGTGAAATGTGAAAACCGGCACGAAAAGGAAAACAAGAAAAGCGATGGACTGAAATTAACAAACTGGTGCAATACTAAAAAAACAAATAAAACCATGAAGCGGAATGCATAGATGGTCAGGAAATATAGGACGACAAAGACTGAACAACTCCATGTCATCACGATGAACTAAGAATTACCGATAAATAATAGCGTTAGCTGACTGATTATGGTGGCAACTAACTTTTATCTATTTAGATTAATATAAAATTAATGCAAATCAAAATAGAACATTAACAGTGTTCCGACAGTTACGGGAAATAAAACCACCTGTAGAGTAACTTCTGACCACGCGTAGATAACTGATCCACTTCATCTAAAACTAGGATAATCGTCTGTTTTTGTGGTTGTTGATTCAAAAAGCATTCTAATGAATTACCATCGCTAATAGAATTATTTTCTTTGCCATTGTGAGCTTCTAAAACGATAGATATTCGTCCAAAAATATCTGCACATGACGTTAATTGCATACAATTAATCACAGCAGTATTACATCTGCCAAGCGTTTTAAAATTCTGAACAACATTTAGGACGACTGCTGTTTTTCCAGTTCCTGGAGCCCCACTTACATAAAGACTAGCACTTTTCTTTGTGTCTATATAAGACTGAATCAAAGATGTCAAACGACTGATCTCATTTGCTCTTCCAACAATCAGTGGACTAGATTCCGCAAACTGAGTTGCAGACTTGGCTGAGAAATTGACCTTACATTGTGTAGTATGTGAATCAAACGCAACAGGTGAATGGATTTCTTTTTGATCATCCAGGAAATTATTGAATTTAGCCAATATGTTGCTTTGATCTTTTATGTTAGAAGATTCGCAATCGACTGATGTTGCGTTTCTACAAGGATCAGGAGGACTCGGCCGTCTTTGTTGAGTGGGACGACTTACTGGGGTTCCTGTTGAGCTGGAAGATACTGAGGGGATTACAGAGAAAACTCTTTTACTTCGTTGTTGTCGAGGTACGACTTGTTCTGACTTGTTTCCCCTGATACTAGACCTTAAGAGACGACTCATTTGAATTGTCAAAAATATTCACCAGTTTAGATGTTAGCATGAAATGATATAGATTTGGTTGATAAGGAAGCTGAAAAGAAATGAGAGACAAACTTATTTGTCTAAGACATGGAAAATTAAATATCAAAATACATCGGAAAACTACGGCGTCCTAAATAAAATCAGAATGACTTATTTATAAAAAGAAATGGAACAAAAAGACCGAAACAAACGACTTGTCATATTTTAATATGTTATCTTGTTGGCGAGACTACAGTTTATAGATGAACCAATCAGACTTAAAGTAGGTCTTGGACTTTGGCGAGAAAGTCATTCATCCATAAGTAGTGTTTTGAATCTACAGTTGATTTTGGTTCGTGAAAACTTGAACTCCGATTTCTCACATTAATTTGCAACCTTTGTTTAACGCCAGTAAGAAGGTGGATGATCATGAGGTCACCTAAGTATTACTCAAAGATAGTCCGTAAATTATAGTCTCGCCATCACAGTAACAGCTTTTACTTGTACCTAACAAAAAAATAGAACATCTAAGGAAAGTTACTAACAATTCCAACTCATTGTTACACCAACTTTAACTATTCAGTGTGCTCCTAAAGAAATTATCCACGAATTTGTGGACAGTGAACTACAAACATAAAAGACCGTTTCACAAACTAACCAATTTTTCATCACTTTCTTATAATACCTGCGTCAGGAAATATGGAAGCCACGAAGCTTGTGGACTATGGGAAAATCTTATGAAGATTACACTACTCATTTACTGACGGTTTTGTATTTTGAAGTGTAGCACTTAAATACTACACTGCAGTGTTGCTAACCCATACAGATCATATAATGAAAGCCATCATAACGTAGAATCATCATCGCCACATTTCAAGCATTAAGATTTCCGAACTGAAATAAACTTACACAGATCTCCTGAAACGAACCAACTGTGAGTCATACCATCATATTACAAATGTGATGGTTTCACGACATAAAAATCTACACACTCGAACGAATTACATTAAAAGCTTACCAAGTAATTCACAGTTGCCTTTATGCATAAACAATTGCAATTTACTATCGAGTGAATTTGAATTAACGCCTTTTAAAGTTTTACGAGTTATTCAGAGGTTGGATATGAGAGGTACGTAATATGCCTACGAATGCTGAGTGGCAATCGATGAAGTCTCGATCAATTATTTTTTAAGTGATTGGGAAAGAAAACAGAACTGCTCATCAAGCCAGTTCAAAGATGTTCTTATCAATCCAATACTCTTACCACAAAAACCAAAATCTGTAGAAGACAGTTAACATAAAAAAGTGCAACTAAATCAGATGGTTAACCATCTGATTTAGTTGCCCTAAGAGTAAACTACCAAATGAGATTCAAATATATAATGTGTTGTGTTTAGACTTTTGCACATTCATCCTCAAGGAAGAATAACGGACGTGAGCTAAATATTGAGGAAGAAAATAAAATGCACTCACCTTTAAGTAATGAGCGAATCGATAACAATCAGTGATAGCGAGCGATCAAAACAATTCGACAATCACGACCAGAAGTACCAGGATGATATTTAAAGTCCATTACACTTGTAATCTGTCTTTGGTAGGTTTGCACCTAACCTGAAGGTACCTTGAGTGCAGGGGAAGTGCGAGGAGCAGTGAGATTATCTGGAAAACGAGAGAAAAATGTAAGCCAACCATTCAGTATACACAAAGAACGCACTTAAGCTTAATTAGGAAAGTGATTGAAAACAATCAGAAGTAATACGAGCGTTAGATTAGGACATGATAATCGAAACAAGAAGTAGACAATGTAAAACCTTGAACGTGTAAACCAAACACAAATAAAACACGCGGCCTTATCTCAGTGTACAGGTTTACATCTTTCAAGCTTCAACATTAAATTTGTTTGGACGATTTAGTGAATTGTTGGTTTCTTGGGGTATGCGTCTGAGTAGCTGACATGCACTATTGGTCTCTGCTACATTTCCTCCAGATAAAGGGCAAAAAAAATTGTTCAGTAAAAGAAGTTATTGAATTGTAGCACATATATTGATTCCACTTTCTACGTATTGAACCTAAGTAGCCATCGAGCCTCCTTTGAGACGATTAATTAGGAGTGTGCAATATTGAATATTGTCTGGATCCGCATTACCCACTTTTACATAGATCCATGTGGGTTCGAGTGAGTGATCAAAAGAAAGTCGTTGTGGGTACACAGAGTCACTAGTAGAGTGTGCCTTTTCACGTCTAAGTTAATCAGATCGACAATCGAAGCACTTTAAGTTCACTCACAAGATGGAAAAAACGTAGATTTAACAAGCAGGTTGTTATGGTAATGACGTGTCGGTTCACAGACCAAAAAACCTGTGATAAACAGCGCCAAGAAACGGCCTAATCTTGCCAATTGATCTTGACCAGAGTTAATGGGTGGCAAAGTCCTATGGCTTATTGGTTGTTAAGTGTCTGAAGCACATTGAGTCCTGGTAGTACACTGCTAAGATGTGTTCTCCTTAGGCCATCAGGCTATAAGAAGCATGAAAAAATCATTGTTAACTGTATTTCTCAAACTGACCATCCTGTAGAGCAGTTAAAACGTACATAATTACGAGTTTGCTGACATCCATTCATCTGAAAAATCATTATTTTTGAATGATTTAAAAGCAATAATAGTAGTAAATTACGACACAGTTTGATGAAAATCACTGGGTAGTTCCTTTACCTAGGAAGATGGGAAGAAATGTGGTTTCTGAGAGTTATGCTGCAACCAAACCAAGATTAGAAATTCACTTGATATTGTTTTATTTGAATCTTCCCATTGATATTTAGGACTGAAATTGTTCAGTCTCTGAGATGCGGGTACATCCAGCTGACGAGTCCCAAATAGGATGAAACGCACGTCCTGGTTTCCACTGCTAGCCACTATCCATCTTTGCTTATAATAACATTAGAAAGTTTGAGACGTCTACTTTTATGCAACAAAGACCTTTAGGGAAACTACACCCACTTCACGCAGTGGATTATTGAAAAACAGCATACGATCAGCGTTCCAGGTATGTGACTCTATGCGAGCTACCACCCATGATGTTATTTGCCCTGTCATGCTTTTAATAACCCTAAGAAACTAAGGAAAGTGAAAGTGACATTACGTTAGGCTGCTAAGGTGTCTGATAAATCTTCAAACAACCGTCTCTACCAAGGTCCTTGTAACAGAAAGAGAACCGTGCAAATCCCTCCTCAGCTTTTTTGTTGGACAGTACTGTCATTTATTTGTTTCTTCTCCCTGTCGTGTATTTTAACCTTTGTTCAGATCTCGTTTAGCCACACCCTTTGTTTTTCAGTCTTCCTCGTCTGAGCCTTTATTGTGTGATTTTGATTGAAGATTTATCTTTTGTTACCTAATTTTTTATTGCATGTTGACGGACTATTGATAGTAAGGTCGTGTTTGACTAAGCTCAAGGTAACGGCGTGGTTCAGTGTGTGACTATTAACCTTTTGACTGTCTGCTTGAGAGAATCAATGGAACCCCTGCAGATAGATATTTGATCCCATCTTGTTAAGGATATTTTTATTGATTCTTAGGTATCGAATCCTTTGGTATTAACTGTTTCTTTCATTGTTTGACGCACTAATTTGAGTTAGAGAAACTTTTGACTGTGTAGCACAGGCTGTACCGCTTGAGGTATTTTGTACCTTTGGTAAAATTTGTTCTATTTCCTAAATTAGAACCGTTTAAATTGTGCACAGAGTTTGTGTTTTGATATAATTTAATACGAGTGTCTCAAAAACGCTTGGTAAGCTATATAGAAGAGCGTAGTCTGGCCTATTTGAATACGTTTTGGTTCGTCAGCCCTGCGTTCAAACCGAATACTGGTAGTTTAGCCGCTACAGTCCTACTAAGTTTGGGCAGGGAGTCGGTTGCCACATCTACCGATGTAGAAGAAATGCTCATGCGAGCAAATGCCTCGAATCTCCACCACAGAGCATTATGTTTCCTTTGGCTGTCAGTGTGATCTCGTTAACGAACCACTGGAAGATCATGTCACCACACCCCTTTGAAACAATATCCTCACCCCTCCGTGCAAATTTTGAACTGGCGACGACTGCTTAAAAATTCTGTAAAGTTTATGACAGCAATATAGTGGAATCGGTACCGCACCATTTCACCTGGACGATTGTCTAGTATCCTTTCCCAAAAATGAAGATGCGAAAACATTTGTGGTACAAATGAAACAATTGATGGTTCGAGGATATTTCAAGTTGAAAAAGTGGGTAACTAACTGAGAACTGTTGATGCAGGTTGTTCTACAATCCGATAGTATGGAAATGACAGTTAATATGTATTTGAATCAAGAGTCCACTCATCAAGTGCTTGAGATTGATTGAGACACCACTCACGATGTTTTTGATTTCCAGCTTGACCCAAAGAAAAAACCTATGACCTAGTGAGGGATACGATTCGCCGCCTCATCTCTGTTCAATCCACTGAGACAAATTTCTCAGATATACCTTCCCACTAAGCAACTCTTGCAGAACCTCCATAAGTCACACATTGGTTGCAACCAAAATCTGAGTGTTGGTTATGTGTCTTCATTGGACTAAGTTTGATCAGAAGCTCGGGAAGATCAACACTCCCTTTAATATTAGGAGTGAAAACGGAAAGAACTGTGGCATGATTGAATTACATTTATTTTCCGATGCCTTCAAACCAGGTTCCGGTGTGGTGGTTTACTCGTGAACCATCCTCAAGCACAAACTTCCGGACAGCGTTTTGCGCTATAGTACTGCTGGGGTCGCACCTATAATCTTAGTTATTGTGTTAGGACTAGACTAGGTGGCCGCATTATTAGATGCCCGAAAAAATGAAGTTTTGAGTAGAGATCTTCCGTATGTATTTGATAAGGCTCACATCTAGATAAGTTCTTTGATAATTCCACGCTATGTCAGAAATACAAAAAGCAGGTATTTCACCTTTGTGGCTAGTCCTCTGTCCGATATTCACCAGTTAACGCCGGTGGAACAGTGGGGATTGTGTTAGGTTTATGAATGTACAGGCGTGCTGTAGTTGGGTAGAACAGCCATAACTAAATACATCCAAAAGTGTCTCTGTGTAACCAAAAGGATTTTGATCGCCGGTGTAACGGAAAGAACTCACTGAAAATACCTTCACAGCAATTCATTGCACAGTATATTCAGTCATTTGTTTCTTTCTCTGTCTTGCATTTTCACCTTTATTCAAGTCTCTTGTTAACCACACTTCCTTGTTGAGGCTTTTGTTATTTGATATTGAAGTAGTGGCTTGAATATCTTATTCTAATTTAGTGGTATGTTGATCGCTATACTATCAAAATATACATGTCACAAATTCGCATATATAATCATCGACGTAACACGCATCAGTGAATAACGGAGTTAAATAGGTCAAATATGAGAATGAATTTCGAGTATATGTATTTCGTACAATCGTAAACTCAGAGAAATGAAGCGAAGCAAAATGACGCGTGGTGGAAAAGATGTGTGAACCATCTCAATTCAACCAAGCGTGAATCGATATTTATAGTCAGACCAAAAATAAGTTACAGACGTGTGACGAATAAGGAAAGAAATGCACACACATACGTTCATATAAAGACAGTCAGGGTTTAATAAGCGAATAAGTAACAGGGCCAGACGTTTCCTGAGAAGAATGAATAGATTGTCCTGTCCAGGGGCTAGAATAACCTATGTGGGCTTGAAACGATACTAGCCTCACCACACTGGTCAAAGATATATATTTTATTACTTTATTACTGTTGCATGTTGTCGAAGAAATACAAATGAGATCGTGTTTGACTAAACTCCTTATCACTATGTGGTTTGGTGTATGAATGTTAACCTCTGGCTGTTTGCTTGGAAAGGTTGACTGAAACTTTACACATAGGTATGCAATCCCATCTTGGGAATATTTTCATTGATTCTCAGGCATTAAATCCGTGTTTATTAACTATTCCTTCTGTAGCTTAGCAGGTTAGTTTGTGTTTGGGGAACTATGGACTCTATAGTTCAGGCTGTACCGTTTGAAGTATTTTGTACTTTCAGTATAGTTTATTTTCTTTCTTGAATTAGAACCGCTTAAATTGGACACAGAGTTTGCTCTCTGATCTAACCTAAAACTAGCCACTCAAAACAATCCGTATGTTACACGGAAAAACGTGGTTTGGTCTAATCAAATTAACTTTGGTTCATTGGTTCTGCATTCAAACCGAACGTTGATTGTTATATTATTACTCACCCAACCAAACCCATAATTATCAGTAAGTACGGCAGTGCTAGATTTCCCACTCCAAACTCTATCTCAAACCTCCAGGATCATAATCGTAATTACTTTCAATACGAAAATATTTCAAATTTACCAACCCACCGAATACATGTGACTCCAAAACATAAAAATGGTCTGAACAACTTACAACTACGTACAACAGATCTCACCCAATCTAACATTAATGCAAATGGCCATACCTCAAACCACGAAATTAACAATCAATACCATACTACTAATAGCGGCACACTGTACGATCAGTTTGTAGATTTTTGAAATACAACCTCTAGTGGCACCACTTGAGGGTCATCTGGCTCACGTCGTTTCAATCCACTTGTTAATTATAAACTCACTTCTTCGGTAAAAGTCCGAGCAGACAGACCAAATAACTTGCTAGCTGATTTGATATATCCTCCCTCTAATTCTTGCCACCAGCGGAACGAGCTATCAAAGAGCAGCCAACACCCAACGTTGAACCCATATGGCACTCATGAGGGTAGTAGTAACTCATTTAATGGGGATACTCTCACCTAATTTAGCTTGGCGGGTGGTTTGTTTAACATGACTATTAATACTCGATCAGTCTTTAGTGAAAGGCAATTTTTTACATACCCAATATGAGTGATAATCCTTCTTCATGAGTTGCGATCAATATACATGCCCTGGTATGGCCGAGAGTGGGGTGGGTTCGCCATCTCTCTCGAAATACTCTCACACGGCCAAGCGCATATAGCCTCTGCCAGGGAAGTCCTACTCACTGCCTTCTCGTGGCACTACTGTTGTTTACGAAATTGAGAGGACGAAAAGCGAACTTCCGGCGCTTTAACCAGATCCTAAATCAATGGTGCACATGGGCTCCAGTATAAAGCTTTTAACTTTCTTTTGGTAGTGATTTCATAACCGCCAATATGATAGTGGTAATTATTATGATTGTTATTAACACAATTAAAAGTGCGTTTGCTAACAAACAATCTGTAGTTGCCCTTATTTTAGGTAAAATATGAAATCAATGCAAATTTGAAAAAATGACAATCCGTAACTTTTCATTGTAGTATGAAGCTGGAACAATACCGACTAATCTTGCCATGCAGATGTAAATTAGCTAGATATTACACTTGTGCAGCCCATTGACCAAGTATACTCTTTGAGCTAATTATTTCATGTGAGGACTGAAGATCCTGCTCCCGATTGTCGAAATCGAGACTAACTGAGTGAATTCAAAACATCCACCCTAAGGTTTATAGTTAAAGGTGTTTTACCCACCAAACCGCAGCCTCATAAGCAATAAGTTATGCACGATATATGAATTATATTCACCACTTATATTTAGACCTGCAACCATCTTAAAATTGAAAGGAATAAATTACTATGATCCAATTTAACTGTATCACTCATCTGGATAATAGTTTTGTGCGTGAAGTAAAGGTACAAATTGAGAAATATTTCAAAGTGTAAATCAACTAGTCTAGTCCAATATTTTTAATTCAGTTCTATCTCGGTTTAGGTACTAGGACAGCATCCCAGACTACACACAAATTTAATGTTAACTAATTTTTCGACTCCATTTTTGGTGCACTTTAGTATCAATGTTTATGTGTTTAAATAAATAATAAGTCAGACCACATAAGTGAAAGGTTTGTTATACTAAGTATGCAAATAGTAGAATGTTTATTTGAAAAAATAAAAATAAACTACTCTAGTTTTACAGTTCAAATGACTGATATATGAATATTGTTTGAGTTATAACTATTACATGGAGTTTAAATTTCAAGCCTTAAATAGTTTACTGTTTAAAATATATAAACTGGGATTTTTCGAATATCAAGTAGAAGGTTATATTGTTAGTTCTGTTTTATTTCGACACAGACATAGTAAACCATATTACTTTGATAAGTAAAGGGAAATATCCAATCAATGTTGTGATATATAATTATAGCATTGTTTTATTCAATATATAAACCAATGTCTGAAATGAATTCGCAAAGGCAATAGAGATCAGAGGATGTGTAAATTTTCTAATTATGTTGGTAAGTTACTTGCTGTCCATTAACTGAAAAGGTACTTACTTACGCCCGTTTCCCCTCGCGGAGGAGCATAGACTTTCCACCATCATTCTTTATCCAACTCTGTCCTTAGCAATCCTTTCTAGTTGCTATTCATCCTTTTGGTGTCTGCTTCCAAATCTCGGCGCAGTGTGTTCTTTGGCCTTCCTCTTTTCCGTTTCCCTTCAAGATTCCAAGTTAATGCTTGCTTTGCGATGCAGTTTGATGATTTCCTCAATTTATGTCCTATCTTCATCGAGCGTCTTTTTCTGATTTTCTCTCTCCCACAGTGAGCTGTTGCTGATGGTGATATTGAGCATCTTGTAGATAATTGGTTTTAAGTACCTGCATGTTTTTGATGATAGTTGTATTAGTTCTCCAAGTTGCAGCGTAACTCCGCCTGTAGCTCTCCTAGAGTTACTGCCAGTCCCAAGCCCGGGTAAAGGAGGAGGGTTGGGCATGGGGTTAGCGTCCCTATCCCGTAGAAAACTTACTCGCTAAAAAATAACTCAAACCATTTGAACTCTGCCCTTGGAGTTAGAAGGTCTTCATTTAAAAGAAATATGACACCTCATGGTGAAAGCCGAGTCCCTTCGGAAGTCACGAGTTCGATGTCCCTTCTAACAACCAGAGCAACAATTTTTATAGGTACATGGAACGTCCGGACAATGTGGGAGACCGGGAAGACCAGCCAAATAGCAACGGAAATGGGGAGATACAACTTGGCAGTACTCGGAATCAGCGAAACCCATTGGACCCAAGCTAGACAACAAAGGCTAAATACGGGAGAGATGCTGCTATATTCCGATCACGAAGAGGAAAATGCTCCACACACTCAAGGAGTTGCTCTAATGCTGTCCAAAGTAGCACAAAATGCACTTGTAGGATGGGAATCTCACGGATCCAAAATCATCAAAGCATCATTCAAAACAAAGGAGGGGATCGCAATGAACATTATCCAATGTTATGCACCCGCCAATGATAGCAACGACGACATTAAAGATCAATTCTATGAGAGTCTGCAATCAATCATAGAGAAGTGCCCAAGAAAGGACCTCACCATTCTGATGGGCGACCTAAACGCCAAAGTCGGAATAGACAACACCGGATATGAAGATATCATGGGGCTGCATGGAATGGGAGAGAAAAACGAAAACGGGGAAAGATTCGCAAATCTGTGTGCATTCAACAAATTGGTCATAGGCGGCACAATATTTCCACACAAACGTATACACAAAGCTACATGGATCTCACCGGACCACATCACAGAGAACCAGATAGATCATATTTGCATCAATAAAAAGTTCCGAAGGACAATGGAAGATGTGAGAATCAGGAGAGGAGCGGATATAGCTTCAGATCACCACCTGGTTGTGGCCAATTTAAAACTGAAGCTAAAGAAGAACTGGACAACTGGAAAAACAGCGCTGCAAAGGTTCAATACAGCCTTCCTTCGAGATACTGACAAACTCAATGAATTTAAGATAGCTCTCAACAACAGGTTCCAAGCCCTACAGGATGCTGGCTTCATCACAAGAATTGTCATTTTGTTAAACAATAAATATTTCAATATTCCTTAAAACTGTGATTTAATAGTTAGAATACTCACCTTTCAACCAACAGTTCATAAGTTTGAACCGTGATTTACGTACTCAGGTTGCATCGCAGCCCTTTACACAGTGCCTGTGACCCGTGTTCGCATGCATGAACCTTTGTTTAAAGAATCAGTTACACTAAACTAAATAATCCTTCTAATCTTCACTGCTCCATCTCGTAACATACGTTCATTATGGTAATCAATTATTACCTAAGTGTTTGAACGCTCTACACGATAGTTATTTCTTCAGTCAGAATGAGTTTATCTAAAGCCTGTCCAAACTTTCAATGTTCTGCTTAAAAATACCTTAATTATTCGTTATTAAACAGGTAAATTAAGTTTAATCACGTCTTACTGGTAGGTTTGCAGTGACATCTATTAGTTTATTATTGCTTTTTTCTGGAAGCCTTAACTATTCAATTTAAGAAATAAACAGTTTTATCTATGTGTTGATGGATTTTTTGACTAGAATTCTAGTTTGGTCACTATCGCCTATTCTAAGAGTTTCTGTGTCAATCGATGGCATTCATCAAGGATTCGCCGAACCAGCTAATTCACTTGAAAGTGGTAATTCAACACCTTTATATGTACTTCCATGGAATACATCTCAGTGGTCAACCAATCCGTATTCATTTCACGTGATTGAAGTCACAGCTAGGGTGAGTGAATGATTTACCCGTTTTTCATCAGACTTCCATATTTAATGCGTTGTTGAATGATAGTAATTACTGATGGTTGGAAGTGTGAAAAACTATTTTGAAAGTATGGTTATTGGAACGTAAACGTCCGGACAGTAAACAGCCATAAAGTAGTCGAAAAAGAGATTGTGTTAGAAAATAGGTTCGTGCATAGGGTATGCAATCCTCATTATAGTGCTAGTAAAAGCCTATATAATCATGCTTTTAGAAAAATTAAGAATCGGAAAATCATGAGAACTCCAAACGTAAGACAGATGCGTTCAAATAGTACAATTAATGTCATTCCACAGTTGATTGAGCTATAGATGACTTTATGTGACATTATGTCATGTGCACTAATCAATTGTCGAATTATCAATGATTATTGAACTGCTTTTTAATAATTGACAAAATGGTACAGTGTGTTTGCTCAAACAAGTGACTTGTTCTACGTAGTACAAAGTGTATGAAAATAATCCGAAGTTGATCTGTATTATGGATTCTCATCAGTTGAGCAATCAGTGAACAGTTTTATCCTGGTTTTCACTATATTAATATTTATACATGTCAAGAAAGTGAGTGAGGTTGTTTACACTGATATGTCATCGTATACTGCCAATTTGTCTTATCTGAACGAATATTTCATCACTAACCCTTCCTACAGTGAGTTGTGGCGATTTTGTTAAGATGCCCAGAGTAGTTGAAGTCGATCAAGTTCAGTTTTTGCAAAATAATATTTTATAGATAGTTGTAAATGATTTTTCTGGAATTATAATTTAACCATTAATAATGCATGGCACCACCGTTTCGTTTGTTATACCATGTATCGTGATTATTCCGAATAGTACGATATTCAATATACTAGTGATCAGTATTCTAGTCCCAGACATTGAAGTATTTTTACACAGACCTTGTCACATTAACAACGGATATTCTGTTGTGCAATTTGGCCACTGTAGACTATTCGAATTTGTTTACCTTTTGTTTGAATTTCGCCTACTTCTGCCTTATATTTATTTTAAGGACGTCAACAATAATCAGCGTACAGTTGTTCAGTCGTTCAGTCTTCGAAATCGTGCTGTTTTTCCTATTGGGTTTCTATCGAAATTTTTGGTTGCCAATAGTATGTCAGTTTCTGTAAGTTTATGACGAATTATATTTATCAGTAAAACAAATTAATTCTTGTTTTATTCGAAAAGTCTTAGGAACATTAATATGTGAAATGAAATGTGATTCCAAAATATATACTGTATACTTTATGAAGCAATATCTGTCAACATTCTGAAGTAAATACAATGAGAAGACACTCGAAGGGTATTGATTTGTGGTATGGGGGAAGTGGCGAAATATATTTCTAAAATACTCATGGACTTCTCCTTTTTACGAAACTTTTTCTCAGACAGTTGTGTCCTTATCTGTCTACCCACTTTTTGTGCCGAGGATACTTTCTAATCTAGATTCAGACTTTGACGCAATAGGCTAATCGGCTTAACCTTGAGACTAGTACGCGCGAGTTCGTGATGTGGTAGAGAGAAGAAAACTATTATGTCATCTGATTGGTGGACAAGCACACGAATGAGAGAAGACAAGACGATTGGGAACACTATTCGTTCTATTCCTGATATTCTGATTTCACTGACTTCAGATAAGAGTAAAAGGTACATGAATAAATGGGTGAATAACCCGACCACAATGTACAATAATTAGGAAAAATACAATTATGTCCAAAGCTGGGAATTAGAGTAGAAAATAGGGTGCAAAATATTGTGTTTAAATTACAATAGCTTCAGAACAGAAAAGGGTATGGCAGTGAATGATACATCGAACGAAAGCTTATGTCCTGTAGAATAGACTAGGGAAAAAAAATAAATGTCAATGTTTTACAAGCTTTGAATAAAATGAAATAACGTCCCGAAAGATAGCTTTCGTAGTTTGTCAGGGTTTCTTGTTTCCCTGTTCACATCATATATGGTGAATAACATGTCTATAAAGAAAATGACTTCGGTATGGTAAATGACATCCGGTCGCTTTGTCGGAAGTCAATAATGACTATCAACAATGAAAACGGAGACTAAGAGTACACAAGTATGGAAGATTGTAGTGGAATATCTTCGAGATAATCCCTATGTTTCACATAACACTCGTTACTAGATAATTCCCGACGGCGTATGAGTTTCAGAACACAGCACGAAGTGATGACTTCATTTTATTATTGTACAGATTGTAAATATTTCACCTTATAGTAAAGTAATAAGACCGGTCACTGAGTATCTAATACAGCGTATAAGGAAATGAAAAAAAAGAGCTTTGGTTTCCAGTCAGTGGTTCGAACAGATCATTTTTGATTAGTTTGATTGTTCATTCATCACAGATGATTGAAATGGAAGAGAGAATCGTCTACTAAAATAAAAGTTGTTATTTTGGTCATCTCATAAATGGCGTATACTTATCTGTTCATAGTATGTCATACTATCGGTGGAGTTACACTTTGTTAAGATTATTTGGATTAGATATCTTGCACTATTATGTGGTGATTAATGATAGAAAATGTGTATGATCACTTGTTCTGTGGATTCACAGATTCGCTGTATCTTCAGTAGTTTTGTGCGTTTCGACTGATAATCTACATTACAAAACAGTCGACTGAAGCAGTTTGTTTTATGTTGAACTTCTCAATGAGATAGATGGTTGATAGTTTTGTGATCAACTCTTATTACGACTTATCCACTTTTATTGCTTAGTATTCTTGGACATTGTTTCACTGGGCAAGTCCCCAAATCAGAACGTGGTTAAACAGGTATGAAATTATAATCCAAATAAACAAGGTCGAATGGAAGTAGGAATCACAATAAAGAAAACGTTGGTGTATTTATAAATATTCGGCGAGACTATAATTTATGGCGCGAAATGCATTCATGCATTTGGCTAAATAGCGTTTTGGCGTTTAAGCTGACGTCAGTTCGTGATGAAACCCCCAAATCCAATTCCTAACGCTAACCATCAATTGCAAATCAATTCTAATTCTTCACACTGGTTTATAACCCTCATTTAGTCTTAGTTAGTATGTGGGCATTCTCAAGGTCACTTCAATGTCGCTCAAAGATCATCCATAAATGATGACCCCACCGAATATTCTAGAGTCTTCTCTAAGTATCCGCTAGCGCCAGGAAACGGTCAGTCAGTATGCCTCAATACAACCGTGCACAGAACATGTCTTAATCCAATCTATAACGCACTAACAGTTTTTAGAATGGAAACAAATTCAAACGGGTATTTAACCAGTACTTTTTTGAATTTATAAAATTTTCCTCTTGTTTTGTGTGACGAAAAAAGTTCAAAACAAATTATTTCATTCTTACTGTTGTGTACAACACAGAGTGTTAAACTGCCTTTTTTAATACTAAAAACTGAACAATATGGATTTTAGTTGCCACATCTAAAGGAGTCATACAATCCTTTTCGATAGCATCTGTTTCAGTTATTATTCAAATACTAGTCATCCACTATGTTAAGATTCGATGTTTTCAGTTTACTAAGTTCTTGTACACCACGTAGCTAAAATTTCGTAGGTTTGAATCCCATTGTTCAAGTGGTTTGATCTAAAATGAACTTTATTTTGAATTTTGTTCTGTTCATTATAATTTGTTTATTAACACCTGAAATAAATAAACCACAGTTTTTGTTGTTTTCTGTAGATAATAAATAACTACTTTAGTATTCATTATAGTTTTTCAGTTTGTTACAAAAGTCTCTTTATGTAAACCTTGTCTAATCGGGTTATTTTCAAATCTCTACTTATTTTCGGAACTTTTATGATGTGTGACTTAGACATAACATACTAAATTTTCAAGTAAATTATTGACTGTAAATCATCATTTGTAAAAATCCGTGTTTTGATGTTGTTAGTATTTAGGAATATATTTAATCAGTCTCTGTAGACATACGAGTTCTTTCCACGGTCAATCATTGTACAAAACATAATTGACTTGTTGCCACAAACAGTGGCGAAGTATCAGCTTGAGGATTACTTTTAAACATTAAATAACACTCTAATTGAACAGGTTGTTAGAGATTCATGTAGAAAGCTATTTGGTTTATTTGCTGCACAAGGGATATCTATACATCTCGGTTACTTGGATCATGGCAACTAAAGGAAATGTCTCGAAACTGTTAGCAACCAGGTTAGAGGTAAATATCACTAGCTTCAAATTGGTGCTCAATGTTTCCAAGCCACCTATGATCTAAATACTTATGGCTTATGTATATTTTATAGTATGATAGGCCTGTTCATAACCATGTAGTGGACGACTGAATGACATACTCTGTCCTTGAGTAATAGACATCCCACCCATTCTACTTTCAGTGTTAGTTGACGAAGCACATGCTGTCTTTTCGTTCATTCGTATCGAGATCTCATCAAGCGCTAATTCAACCAACCCGCTGATCTGGTTTCAATTGCAATCTTAAGTTCAATAGTGATATTGTTTGCTAGTTCAGATAAGTTAACTTAAGCATTTTTGTACTTTGTAAGGATTAAGTGATCGACTGCTTTTAATATGCCTCGTTTTCTAGGCTAACCAAACCATCAGTTCATGAGAATATCAATGATGACTAAATTGTGTGTGCGGATGTAGATTTCCAAGCTTGTAGCTCTCAGAATATTCTCAATATGGTCGAATACCTCAGGCGAGTTATTTTAGGTTAAGTCTCACTATTGAAGTTTGTTCTGATCTCTTATATTTCTACCCGTGTCATTTCAAGTCTTGCATTCTTTGGTCGCATTTGTTTGATTGGAACTGTTCCTTGTGTTCAGTTTTCCATTGTAGCTGTAATCATTTCATTTGTTTCATCTTGTCGATTTTCCCTCTCGTTTTTTTGTGGTAACTTGGATCAGTTTCCACTTATACTGTGTCGTAAGTTGCCTTTCACTGATTCACTTGTCCCTTATTCGTTGTAGTGCCCAGATTTTACAGTACAAGCCAAAAAATGAACATATCTTTGAGAAAAGAGCAGAGTAGGTGTAAAGTATAATTTCTGTTATTTTTTTTAGGTTTCTGCACTTTATTATACTTTATGGATAACAGTATTCACGTTTTTGATATCACCGCTTTTAATTCGTCGTCCGAACTTACGTAAGTTTTTATTTGTAGTTAATGAGTACATGGTAATGAGACACCACAGACACACTTCACTTTGTTTAAATACGTGCTCTAGCCTACTTCTTGTATTGTTTATTAAAATAATCAACTTTCAGACATTAGTTCTGAAACTCAAACACCATTCCACGTACTTTGGCTTAAACAGTTGTATGATTTCAACCAGTGAAATTTCTAAAAATCTCCACACAATCCCTTCTGATAATAATAATCATCTGCTCACTAGTGACTGACTTCAAGAGATACTCCTGAAGTTCTAGTGAGAAGCCGTTACCAGTGGAGTTCAACCAGGTCTGTTGTGAGATATCAGCTCACTGAAGACAATGTGTACGGTGGCGCAACTTCGTGGATTGGTGGAAGTGTGACATTAACACCGTTGGATGCCGGCCAGCTGAGTGGTCTAGTGGTTAAGTGCTCGCGCGAGAGACTGATAAGTCCTGGGTTGGAATCTAGCGAGGCGTGATCATGGATGCGCGCTGCTGAGGAGTCCCATACTGGGACGAAACAGCCGTCCAGTGCTTCCAGGTTTTCCATGGTGATCTAGCTTCAATGGATTCATGATTTCAACCAGTGAAAGTTGTATGATATCCTTAATTTTCAAATACAATTGTTTTATTGAAAACAGGTTATCTTGATATTTTTTGGTTACTAATCTGAATTAACCCAAATAGTTGAAATGATAATATCTCTTATTTTAAGATTCCACCGCCCAACCGTTGTTGCTACCTTGACCGGTGGTCGGGCTTGCCTATCGTGATGAAGCAACTGAGCTACACTGGCTGGAACAACCGCTCCTCAAGGTCCTACCATGCCAGACAGGTCGGTTGAAGAGCGGTAAGACTAAAAGCAACAAATCCAAGGTGCGAAGGCGAAGTCGTACTGCTGACTGTACAGAGGTGTGACAGCAGTAAGGTGTTTCCTTCAGACAACCAGCATGACAGCGATGCTGCCTTCCCACAAGGAGGGGTGGGGTTAGAAAAGGTCGACCCTAAAAATGCACACCTCGCCTTATCCCACGGATATCCGTCTCCAGCGGTAAGGTCTCAACAAGTACGGAGCTAACACAAAAACTACTCATAAAAAGGTCGTGTGACCGACCTCAGGCAGCTATCCCTTGGGCACTGCGGTCACACCCTCAGGTCACTATGACCACCCCTAATCCAATTTCCTTTTCAGGTACCTCCAGAAGAACCCTTCCACGGTGTGGGCGACCGGGAAGTGATAACCGCCCTCATACCTCTAACAGCACTCAAGACCACTGTATTCATAATCAACCTTCCTCTTCAATTCCTATTATTCCTCCTACATCGACTTTCAAACCTAAACTTCCTCCTTTGGTTTCCTCCCCACGTATCACCACAGCCAACGACTTTAGTGCTCCAAACGCTGTCCCAGGTTTACTGAAACCTCGCTCCAAACTACACATTGGAGCCTTCAACGTACGCACACTACGTCAAATCGGTCAGCAGGCATCCTTGGCTAAAACACTAGAATCTCGTACCATTGATGTATGCTGTGTCTCCGAAACACTCATACAGGATCCTAGTGTGGTCATTCACTTGACCTCACCTCGGCAAGACGGAGAGCCGACGAGATACACCCTCCGTGTACCTGGCGACCTGATGGCTAGTTCTCGTGGACTGGCATGTGTAGGCATAGCACTAAGCATGAGGGCGGAACAAGCGCTATTAGAGTGGATCCCCGTTAACAGTCGTCTATGCGCTGCTCGGCTAAACGGCTCCGTAAGAACCCGGAAAGATAGGGACACACGTCGTTGCCTTTTCGTCGTTTCTGCCTACGCTCCCACTGACTGCAGTTCGGATGAAGTGAAAGATGAACTTTACAGAAAGCTGTCTGAACTTCTTCAGAAAGCTAAACGTTCAGACATAGTACTCGTAGCAGGTGACTTTAATGTCCAGGTAGGTAGCTTAAACGAAACAGAAAGACATTTAGGTGGGTATTTTAGTATTTCGGCACAGCGAACAGATAATGGTGATCGTCTGCTGCAACTGTGATCAGACAACCGTTTATTTTTAGCAAACACAAATTTTAAGCACAAGGAGGGACACCGTCTGACATGGCGACCGCCTGCACCAAATCAACGATGGACTCAAATAGACCATATTGCCATAAGTCATCGTTGCAGGGGCTCCATAGAAGACTGTCGCTCGTTCTAAAGTACATGTTTAGACTCCGATCATGCTCTGATACGAGCACGCATTTGCTTGCGCCTCACTGGATGCAGAAAAGTCACATTAAGAGAACCAACTAGAATTGAATAGAGTGACGAGAAAGCCGAAAGTAAATTCCAGGAACAACTGAGGTCACACTTTGGTAGTTCTGAAAACGAAGCTGACTCAGATGTTGCTTGGAAAGATATACAATCTGCTGTGGAAACAGCAGTGACATCAACTAATAATTTAAACCACAAGGTTATAAAGAACCAATGGATTTCTTCAAGGTCTATTGCACTGATGGGTTCTCGTAAACTCATCCCATCAGGTTCTAAACACGATGAAGAGCGTAAACAAATCAGATCTAGGTTCAGCAAAAGTCTAAGGAACGACCTGAGCAGTGGTGGGCAACGAAAGCAAAAGAGATGGGAAAGGCGGCAGCTATAGGGAACACAAGACAACTCTATAGACTAATAAAAGAAACTGGAATTAAAAAGTCAAGTGTAAGTCAGACTATTTCGGAAAAAAACGACACTCATCTGCCCCCAGTCCAGACGTTTAGAACGATGGGCGGAACATTTTAGAAAACAGTTCAGCTGGTCTTTAGCTACTCTACAACTACCCTCCATTGCCAGACAGTGTGAATGGAACATTGAAGTAAGTCCTCCAACTCTAGCTAAAGTTCAAAAGGCTATAGTTAATCTAAAACGAGGAAGGGCAGCTGGTCCAGATGGATTGGCTCCAGGGGTCTTTAAGGATGGTGGTCCAATTTTAGCGACTAGGTTGACGAATATTTTAGCTAAAATCTGGGAGTTGGACATAATCCTCTCTGACTGGTCACAATCACTTATCGTCCCAATATATAAGAAAGAGTCAAAATCATCCTGTGACAACCATAGAGGGATTAGTTTAACTAATATAGTACCTAAAATACTAGCCTCGATAATTTTCGGACGCCTAACTAAGACTCGTGAACTGCAAACATGAGAGAATCAAGCTGGCTTCAGACCTGGTCGTGGATGCATAGACCACATATTCACCGTTCGTCAGGTTCTAGAACACAGGCATACTTATCGGCGTCCGACAATAGTGGTCTTCCTCGACTTAAAAGCAGCATTTGACTCTGTAGATCGAGAGGTTCTGTGGCAGTGTCTGTCATTGAAAGGCGTACCTCAGAAGTACATAAACCTTATGAAGGCTCTTTACTCGAACACTACTAGTCGGGTCAGAGCTTATGGCGAACTGTCATCTGATTTCGCAACCTCAAGTGGTGTCCGTCAAGGCTGTCCACTTTCTCCTTTTTTGTTTAACTTTATCATAGACCTCCTGATGGAAATAATGCTTCCATCGACTGAATTCCCGGGTATTGATCTCCTACCAGGAGGTCCACTTATGGACTTAGAATACGCAGATGACATAGTCCTGTTTGGTGAAGACGCTGATAAAATGCAGAGTCTTTTGGTAGAACTGAGCAACAATGCCAGAATGTTTGGGATGCGTTCCCCACCTCTAAATGCAAGTTGTTGCTTCAGGACTGGTCTGCGTCAATACCTGAACTAAGGATAGGGAGTGAAGTAGTCGAACGTGTCGACAACACTTATTTTGGAGATCTGATCAGCCCAAATAAGTTGATGTCTGACGAAATCTCTGCACCGATTCAGAAACCTCGTTTGGCTTTTGCCAACTTACGTCACCTATGGCGCAGGCGAGATATCCGTCTATCAATTAAGGGTCGAGTATACTGCGCGGCAGTTCGTTCCGTTCTACTATACGGCTGCGAAGCATGGCCATTAAGAATTGAAGATACTCGTAAGTTACTAGTATTTGACCACAGATGCCTCAGAAATATTGCTCGCATCTGCTGGGATCACCGGGTAAGTAATAGTGAGGTTGGACGGGGAGGGTATTAGGGAATGATGGTAAATCAGTTGATGAGGTTATGAATCTTCATCGACTGAGATGGTTGGGTCACGTGTTGCGTATGCCTGAACACCGATTACCACGACGCGCAATGCTAACCGGTGTTAGGGATAATTGGGAGAAAGTTAGGGGCGGCCAAACCAAAACGTGGCATCAGTGCTTGGAGACACTAACATCTGGTCTGAGCCATGTTGGTAGATGTAGACTACTTGGTTGAGGTCCGCGTGACTATCGTAACCAATGGTTGGAGACTCTGTGTGACATGGTTCGGAATCGATCACAATGGCTTAGGTGTATACACTCTTTGTCTTCCCTTAAACTAAGAGATTAAAATCGCTTCATATTTTTCTTTCTACGAACTAATTCTATCTTCCTGTACTATCTCCTTATATGCAATCTTCTATATATTACCAGCACTGAATTAACTACTTCTATGAATCCGGTGTTCATCTTGTTGTGCTAATGCGGTATGGCAACTTGGACCGATGCATATATGTGCCTGGTCTTACGTTGCAGCTGACTGACTGGCCACCTAAATTTCTTATTTTATCTGTTTCGATCCACTGATAAGTCGCCAGAGTTTAGAGTGTTTCCGACCTCTTGAGAATCACCATATGTTTGCCGTCGATTTCAGTCAGAGAACCCTTTTCTTGTTTTGTGTTGTGCTGACTGTCAATCAGTATTGAACTATTCGACTTTGTACTGGTGGATTAATGAATCGTCTCCGGAAATCAAATTATTCTATGTGTCAATTTGTATTTCCCTGTAACACTGTTTCCCTTACCCTTTGATCAATCATTATTTATTTATTTGTTTATTTATTTAAACACATAGATGTTGGTACAAGAAGGCATCAAATACACATGCGCCACACAAAGCTCATTTGATTTGTGCGAGAGCTATGATACTGCCTGGGTGCCCAGACCGAAGTAGGTGGTTTTACTAGGGGGCCACACCCGGAGCCTTCGACCTAAAGGTCTGATCCACAAGGCAGTGGAGCATCGTAAGGAGATGCGGTCCCGTGGTAGCTGGTGACCAACGATTGGTTCATACGCCATTTGTTCCCTCAGGATACAGGAACCCATGTGCACCATTGGTTTGAAATCAGGGTTTTCCAACTCCCCTAAGTGGACTCTCCGTGTCCACCAACCCGGTTAAAGCGCTGGACATTCGCTTTTCGTCCTCTCAATTTCGTAAACAACACCCTCGCCACGAGAAGGCAATTTCGATCCATCAAAAACTAGTTCTAATCGTCCAATGGAGAGTGTGCTTCAGGTGAATAAAAACTGTTAATTTCTATAACGCAGCATTTCAGAATTCTCATTACCGCTGTCGTGTTTCACATGTCGATATCGAACAGCGAAGCGCAGAAAATATTTTGATAGATGTTTGTTGGCGTTGGATTTCCAAGTGATGAAGAGTTAGTTAGACAACTATCAGTTTATGGGAATCAAACTTTCTATCGTTTCGTTATTCGGGTTAGTCATTTCTGTGAGGACGATTTTTATATTAAGTATGTATTCAGGACAGAAGGGCATTGTCAGCACGAGGGTATGTTTCCTCGAATATCCTGTATGTAATAAGTTAGGCGAGCAATTGGTTGTCGATATCGGTCCTTCGCCCATGTTCGTGTGATAGATGGATTTATCACCGCGATTAAATCACGAATGACTCATAATCATGATATACTACGCGTTTTTTATGAACACGGCGCACGGTCCCTTCGTGTGACAGAAGATCGAATGGAGAGAATTATCCCTTTACTGCAGACATTGTATTAATTGACTTCACTTACAAAACATACGAAAATTCAATCATTGAACAGAACGTCTTCAGTATGCGCTGTCGCGTGTTTGAGCAGACACAACTCTTAGGTTTGTCTGATTGTTTTCACGATGTTGAATTAATAGGTAGCTTCGAAACATTCACAGCATATATCGTCCAGATGGGAAGCGAAGCATAGACGCAGATACGACTTGGATTACAAGGTGAATTTAAAACGACTCTCTATATAGCTACTGTATTCAATGATTTAACAAACTTTCACTTTTCTTGAAACTGAAAGTTCTCAAAAATGAAGAATAAATATATGTATATTGGTTTTTTAGCAAATAAACATGACTTACTGCTGTTACTGTTATGGCGATGCAAAATGTTCCTGGATAAAATCCAGAGGGGCTCTGAAGTCGCTGGGAAACACTGTCCAATCAGCGTTGAATAGAAGTTTCTGAGATATATCGGGGAAGTGATGAGTCACGTGTCTTATTTCCGCACTGATGGGTGCTGGAAAACTCATCTCATCTGGCTTTGAACATAACAAAGAGCGAAGTCAGCTTAAGCGCAAGCTGACAAGAAGCCTACTCAACGGTCGTGAACAGTGGTGGGTAGCGAAAGCAAGAGAGATGGAAAAGGCAGCGGCAATAGGTAATAGCAGACAACTGTTCAGACTTGTTAAGGAAACCGGTATTAGGAACCCAACTGTTAGCGAAACAATCTCAGAGAAGGATTGAAATATTGTACATTCTCAATCCAGGAGATTGAATCGATGGGCAGAACACTTTAGGGATCAGTTCAACTGGCTTTCAGTCACACTTCGATTTCCCACGATCTCCAGTCAACCTGAATGGCAAGTTAGTGTAGGTCCTCCGACTGTTTACGAAGTTGAAAAAGCTATAGGAAATCTGAAGCGTGGGAGAGCAGCAGGCTCTGACAAGTTTACTCCTGAGATTTTCTAGGATGGTTGTCCAATATTAGCAGTGAGATTAACTGAGGTCTTAGGTAGAATCTAGGAACTGGACATAATCCCATCTGACTGGTTTCAATCACTGACAAAAGTCCTCTTGTGACAATCACAGAGAAATCAGTTTGACTAATATAGTGTCTAAAATATTAGCTTCAATAATACTTCGACGCCTAACCAAAGCTCGTGAAGAGCAGACTAGAGAAAACCAGGCTAGTTTACGACCTGGACGTTAGAGACCCTGAATGACATGGCTCAAAATCGTTTGCAATGGCGCAGATGCGTCTACTCTTTGTGTTTTACCAAATTCAAATCTTCTGAATACTTCATGTCCCTTCTTTTTTCTCTTTCCAAATTTATTTCACTGGATTATACTTCTTGAATAACATCTTCGAACCCTAACGTTTCCGATGACTGCTTATACTCCTACTACCTCTACCACTATGGAATTTGAATCGACAATCGTATCTTTGTGCTAATGTTGTGTGGCAACTCGAACTGATGTACGTGCGTACGAAGTTCTACGTTGTTACTGGCTAACTGAACACAGTTTCTCATAAATAGTCTCAAATATTCATTTTGTTTAAGTATATGTTTTTTCTCCAGTTTGCACCTACAAACGATTATGCGATTGAACCTGTGGTCGTCACGGCTAAACCAATAGTCTTGGATCGACATCTGATTATGACGAGAAGCATTAACATTAAATTTAGAAGGTAATCATATAGAACTCAGTAAAATTCGTGGTGTATAGTGATCTAATTAGATAGATGTAGAATCCACTGTCTATTTAAAACTGCTATAACTTTATACCGTTTAGGAAATTTGAACTATGTATAAATAGAATGATAAACAACATTGTGATGTGTCTTAGTATTTTAAGTTTATGTGAAGAGAGCCATATTTATAAAATCCGACTTCTATTTACTAAACCATGCTCAATCACAAAATGACGTTCGAGGAATTTCTAATGGCATAATTTTAACAATTATAAGTAAATTGTGAATATCTTGCTTTATTTTGTTATTTAGTTGTACATCTGTTCCGTACAAGACTCGGTAGAGGTATGTATCATATATCGTCAACCAAAAAACTATTGTTTCCTGTCTTGGTGTTTATGGTGTATCAGGTTTCATGTAAGTTTTAGAGTGGCGTTGATTTCTGCTTCACTATTTTAATCTCTTTTCTTCAAAAACAATAAAATCAGAAAACCCTTGCGGGTTGATGTATAATTGTTGTTCCGTCAATAGAAAATCGATTGACATGATTACAAGTAAAATTTGTTTAAAGTCTCACGTCATGACTCTGTTTGTTCATAGGGATCCAATAAGAAATGTGATTTAACTGATTGCTGTTTCATGTTAACTATTGTTAATATCGAATTATTCAGTTGGGCTTTCATTACCGCAAGTTATTAATGCACAATTTCCACATGATGGGAAGTGTTGCTTTTCGTCATGATTGGCGCCTGTCTATCCAGGAATAGAACTTCACCAGTGTTTTTGAAGAAACCAGCTCTTTATTTCCTTTTATTTATGAAATCGATTTTTGGAAACGGTTGATTTTCTATCATCAAGACGATGTTCTTGGTATGGTTTTCCTGTAGGTTGTTGAAAGGTTCCGCTAACGATAGAAGCTAACTTATTTACTTGTTGTATATTGCTTACCATGATGGAAAACTAAATGCCATAATAGTTGTGATGATTAAAAGCCAGTGATTTTTGAGCTGTTAGGCTTTGATTGTTATCCATCTACAACTTAATGTTGTACTCTGTTATTTTCAGTATATGTACGTACCTCGTTATAGCGTTTAGGAAGTTAATTAAATTCTACACTTGAAAATATACTACTTATCTTAAATTTCATTTTCTCTATATATCAAGGTCCACTTTTCATGGGTTATCTAGTAGCTGATAAATTTGGCTTTGTTTTCTCATTTGGTATTTATATTGACGGTATTTACATACCAGAAAGACTGACTTATGTGCTTGCAGAAAGTCAGGTAAATAATATCTATATAAATTGCTTATATTTGCTATGTGTATTGTTTTCACTCAACCGCATATCCTATAAACCACACAATTGATAATCAATATAATTTGAGGCGAACACAATCGTTTTACAGTGTGAGCGAAGTGAAATGTGCTAAAATCTGGAGAAATTCGATTAAGTGAATATCATGTCATCCTGGTCGATTTGGTTCTGTAAGAAATATGTTGGTGTATTTGTGTAACTGCTCAGTAATCAAAATTAAAATGAGCACTCACTTCATCTGACAGTATCATTATCTGGCATGCAAAAAGTATGACTTACAGCCGACTATATAGTTGTTGAATTACATTAATTTTCTTACTGGAAATGTTTAGAGTAATTAGTTACTCAAAGCATAGATTTTTCACTTTTAAAGATAGAACCACATAACTATTCATCGTCGTGTATTACAAATTTTTATTGATTTTCTCTTAAATTCTACTTCGCAGCTATTTGCGTTTGGGTTATATCTGTTGTTGTTTACTTATCATTGTGGTAATCAACAATATGATTCAATTTATCCACTGAATAGTGGTGCGCCGTCGGAGCAATATTCAAACAGTGTTTATGAAGATGATATTCACTCGAATGCATTGTGCATCCGTTTACCAAAATTTTGCTCTTCACCTTCTTTGCTTGTCATAACAGTGATTTACATATCGCTTCAGTTAGGGTCTAATTTTATTTTTATTTGGCTACCCTATGGTTTTGTAGTGGGTCTCTTAAGTCCGGGACTTGTAATCCCTGTATGCGTTGCATGTATTTTATATATCTATTATCCACGACCTAATCATGTGAAACTTTGTATTCAATAAATGTTCATTTCTTTTTTCATTTTATACTGTTTAAACGTTTGTTTTATTTGATTTGATATCTTTTTACTTCTGTGTGCTCATTCATTGATGATATATCATTTTTGTTCTCGTAGTTAACCGAACACATGTTTTACCATAACTGTGATAAACATATCTGCATTATTTATTGTATTATTGTTTTATTTAAAAACGGGAATGACTACGTTTACATTTCAACTTACAGGCAGCGTATTGTGATCGCCACCTATAAACTCAGCTATAGGCAAAAACGTGAAGGTACACGAATACTTGGATTAACTGTGTATCCATCACGGAAGCGGTATTTGTTGGCCTATAAATGCGACCGATTACAGAACTCTGTTGGGTACAATGATCTACGGTGACGAATAATATAAACGTGCTACAACTGCCAACTTTATGGGAAGATCGTAGTTGACATAATATCGCACATAAATTATACATCCCTCACCTTTACCTGTATTTCATTTTTTACGGTACATTTCGCAATTATCAACGCAGAGTGTTAAATCAGAAATATAAGGTATGCACCAAGTCACAGCAATTGAAATTCATCATGGAATGGCCAAGTAAGATTGAGATCTAAGATGGACCATCTTATCACAGGAAGAGCGTCAGTTTTTAAAAAATAATGGAAACGCTTGAGGGGGTAACGATATTGGATTATTCACAGCTAACCTAATGAGTGGAGAATTATTTTTACTGATGTCTAATCAACTGAGATTCAGTGGTGTTTCATAGTTGCATTAGACGTTCCCCGTTATCTGTTCTGCGACCAACAAGTCCCCATCGGCCACCTAAACGACTCTCTTTTGTGCCTAGACGCCCGACCTGAGCATTCAAGTCTCCGGCTAGTACTACAATATCTGTCGAACGCACTTTCTGGAGAAGAACAGTTAACTGGTGGTAGAACTCATCGTTGATTGCATCCGGGCTGCAATCTGTCGGGGCATAGGCGGAGATGACGAAAAGACATCGTTTCTCACGCCGATTTCTTCTCACTTTGATGGAACTTTCTAATCTAACAGCACATAACCGACTGTTAATGTGGATCCAGTCGACTAGTGCTGCCTCAGCTCTAGCGCTTAGTGCGACACCAACGCCAGCAAGACCAGACGAAGATGTTACAGGGTCCCCGGATAAAGGCACATAAAACAAGCTTTTTGAAGCGACAGATGGAGAGCGAACTTGTAGTACTTCACCAGAATCTTGAATACGGGTCTCGGATAGACAACAAACGTCGATATTAAGACTTTCCAAAGACATAGCCAGCCCTATCTGTTGTCCGACCTGCATAAGTGTGCGAACGTTGAAGGCAGACTGTTTGAATGGTGCGCGTGGCTTCAGAAAGACTTCTTCAGTACTCTTATTCAATGGTAACATACAAGTTTCAACCAGGCAGTGACTGGAGAACGTTTAGATAGAGCCGAATGTCCACCATAGGCGAGCTGCTGTATAAGTCGAAAAATGAGGATAGATAGAGTGGAAATAAAAGAGAGTGAATAAATGACGTGGTAAATAATAATGTGAATTGTTTGACAGTAAATCGCAGCGAGAATAGTTTTCTGTGAATATCATAATTTTCATTATCATTATATTTGTGCGTAGGCTGAAATATTGCCCTGGTGCCCAAACCGAAGCAGGTAGTCTTCTTAGGGGGCCACACCCCGAGCCTTCGACCTAAAGATCTGACTCACAAGGCAGTAGAGCATCGTAAAGAGATGCAGTCCCATGGAAGCCGGTGACCAAGAAATCGGTTCATACGCCATTTGTTCCCTCAGGCAGGATACTGGAGCCCATGTGCACCATTGATTTAGGATCTGGTTAAAGCGCCGGACGTTCGCTTTTCGTCCTCTCAATTTCGTAAACAACAGTAGTGCCACGAGAAGGCAGTGAGTAGGACTTCCCTGGCAGAGGCTATATGCGCTTGGCCGTGTGAGAGTATTTCGAGAGAGATGGCGAACCCACCCCACTCTCGGCCATACCAGGGCATGTATATTGATCGCAACTCATGAAGAAGGATTATCACTCATATTGGGTATGTAAAAAATTGCCTTTCACTAAAGACTGATCGAGTATTAATAGTCATGTTAAACAAACCACCCGCCAAGCTAAATTAGGTGAGAGTATCCCCATTAAATGAGTTACTACTACCCTCATGAGTGCCATATGGGTTCAACGTTGGGTGTTGGCTGCTCTTTGATAGCTCGTTCCGCTGGTGGCAAGAATTAGAGGGAGGATATATCAAATCAGCTAGCAAGTTATTTGGTCTGTCTGCTCGGACTTTTACCGAAGAAGTGAGTTTATAATTAACAAGTGGATTGAAACGACGTGAGCCAGATGACCCTCAAGTGGTGCCACTAGAGGTTGTATTTCAAAATCTACAAACTGATCGTACAGTGTGCCGCTATTAGTAGTATGGTATTGATTGTTAATTTCGTGGTTTGAGGTATGGCCATTTGCATTAATGTTAG